AATTTGAATGTAGGGACTGTTTAGGGATTTCCTTTTGATTTGTATGCATTAAATAGTAGATTTTCCTAGGGTTTCATCATCTTGAATTTGGCAGAAATTTGAGATCTCTTAGATTTAGGTTTCTTTGGGCTCTAGCGGCGTCTAGAGATTTGGGAGAGATCGATCCTCCTCTCGAATTGAGGATCAATTGTATCTTTGCTAATTTACTTGCATCTACTAGTAAAATACAAGTTTTTCCTACGATTTTCTCTCAGTTTTCTACAGTTTTTCCACTGTTTTCACTGTTCTCCTGCTCCGGACAGCAGTATTTCGTGGAGATTTGCTGTAAAGGTGAATAGGAAATACTTGATTTCAAGTATTTCCTATCAAATGCTCACCTGAATAAGTCTATATCATTTGCAAAACATTTATATATCAAAAAGCCTCACTTTAAATATCAATGAGAAGTATGTCCATATCCAATAAAAAATGATATGAATACATGGTTGATTATTGATGTTATTCTATTGTGACCAAAACTTTGCTGCTCCACGACTGCTATTTATGCTATCTATTGTTGTATCATTCATATCTTTAAGAGAAAGGCTAAACATATCACAATATCTGCCAAACTTTCCACTAAAATTGATGAAGTTATTGCTTTATCCATGCTCTTGATTTCATGAATATCTAGTGTAAAAGTCTTTGGCAAGTTTTAATTATTTTAGATGTTTCAATAATATATTAGGGAGATTTTTTATCGTGTAATAGCATGTCTAATTATAATATCTTCTACAAGTTTTCTTAGGCTCGTTGTCTCTTTAACGTTGATCAAATCATTTCTGTTGTTACTTGATTATATGTTATGTTGTCAAGAATAATAGATATCATATGAAGATCCTATCATCACTTTTATTTCTCATTAACTGCCTTAGCACAAAAATCACCACTGTTGGCCCTGATCTTCAAGGTATAAAAGCAAATTGATTCTGCATACCAATTGATTTTTTTTTAACTTATTTTTCATTATGTTCATAATGTTATTGTTTGGTTCATACATTTGGCTTATACATTTGGCTCCATTGTTTGGTTCATACATAATTTTAGTCGATCTCTTTTTTAAAAGGCCAATACCAAAATACTGCTTCTCCCATTATTTGCAATCTTAATATTTAGATTTTAGCAAAATAAGTTAATTGAACTCCTTGAATGTCCAATGTATTTGTCCCGATCTTAATAGGATTCATCGAAATTTATTAAACTTGGGTTTCAGACGTGGCAAGCGATGCAGTCGTGATGACTTATTCATTGATATGTTAATTTAAATATGTAAACAATATTCTTGGGAAAACACATTTCATTTGATAGTTAACTGTAAGCAATATAATTTATCCAATCATTGTGGAGTGAAATTTAGTTTACATATTATATGTTGAATTTGACGAATTCCTATTATATATATCTTTTGTTTGAGGGGATGAAATCTGTGTCTGCTCTCTTTTCTTTATTAACTTCTTCGGGTAAGTTGAGTAATGTCAGTGTTTTCTCTAGTTAAAGAATAATTGATGCTCTCACAAACACTCTAATTTATTTGCAATAGTTATTCCTTCGTGTTGTAGAACTGTGTTTCAATTTTTCAATGATAGTTTGCATCCGTATAAAGAGCTAAGTTGGAATTTGGATCATCAACTTGATCACATAGTTTGCTTTTCGGGTTCTTATTTGATACTTTGTGAAGTAGCTTCTTGGTGTTGTATTATCTTTCACTTCCTTCATTTCAACCCCTTGTGTTGGCAATTCAAAGCTCACTTATTTGAGCCTAGTATTTCCAAAGATCTAAAAAATGTGGAATATTTGACATCTGCTTTAGCAAAAAAGGCCATTAGTATTGTCTATATTTTCTTATTTATCTTGCCATTCCTTTATTGCAACTCTTTATTAGGTTGGTATTTGAAATATCAATCCATTGATAACACTGTCATTGTCATATCCTAAGTCCTGGATGAAAAAAATAGAGGGGTGCATTAGGTAGTTGACAATCAGCGTAAAATTTATCGAATAATTATGACATGAATAGCTTACGTCACGTAGTTGGATAAATATTTGATGTTGTTGTTGTAGTATTAAGATTTAATATAATCAAAGATCTCATGATGGAGCATTTTTTAACCTGGTTTTGCACAATTTATAGTCAAGTTATTGCGGCTTATCAGTGTTTTGGATGTTTCTATTTGTTTATTTTGCTTCTTTTCTATGCTCTTTGATTACTTTTTAGCATGCATATTTGCATTTATTGAACTGAATAAATTTCTTTAGAATTATAGAGATCAAACTTTTAAGCTGAAATACTTTTAATTTCTATTGCTTTTCTATTTCTCAATTATATTTTAACTCTTTTTATACATTCGCAGCATGGGTCAATCGATTTGCAAATGCTGGTGATACTGCCATGATTGTAGCCGGAAATACTGCATTTCAGGTATGAAATCCTTCTAAAGTTCTTTGGTTTCATTTGTCTAGAAGTTTTTGTTGGGATTGGCAAGAATTTTTGAATTTCATAGGGCTTTACAGAGTTTTTATTAGTATGTTGTCAACATCTTGCTATACTCAAAAAAGGTTCCTGTGCTGATGCAGAAGTTTTTGGGGTTGTATTGTCCTAGGTGCATTTGGTCCGGCATCTACTATTAACTAAGCGGTGTTGTTATGGGGCCCTTTGAAAACTAATAGTACTATTTTTTTGTTATTGTTAACCTAAACCTCCAAAGAAATAAAGAGAGAGGAACTTTGTTCCACATCTACTAGCCTTCAGTAGGGTTGGGTTGGCCCAAGCTATAGAAAACATGCTTTGAATTTTTTGATCTTACAATAGTTTTCAAGATATTAACAAAGAAAATATGACAAAAGGTCAAATCTTTTTTCCTTTACTTGAGATGATGTTCTAGGTATTCTATTTAAAGTGATTGCTAAGATATCAAAGTTACATGGCATTGGAAAAGGGGCCAAATACATACACAATTAGTGCTCGATCATTCTTGATTACAACTGATACTTATTTCAGAAATTTCTTTCAAATTTTAACCTTTGTATCAACAGGGAAGAACACCTTCCTCCGCATTACTGAAGTGTAAAACAAACTCAAGGATCTACCTAATAAGGAAAATGGGTTCATATTCTTACGTGTTGGAGTTCCTGTAGAATTGACGCAGACTTTTTGAATATCTATAAATCTGGTTGCCATTAAGATGACGATAAGATTAAAAGCATATGTGATGTAGTGGGAGATGGGGGAAGATCATGCTGGTTGTCTATTAGTAGTCATATTTCCTTTGTATCAACAGAGAATGGGCTGTAGCCTCCCCCCCCCCTTCCAGTGAGGCCTTTTAAGCACCTCTCTACAGCACAGAAAGGGAATCGTTCGTCCTAGCTAGGGCTAGATATGATGCTAGGCCATGCTTTCTATCCTGCAAGCCACAAAATAAATATGTATTGCCCTTAATTGAAAAATATTAGGATATATTGACTTCGATAAACCAGCCCATAAACTTCAACAACATACTTGCTAGTTAGTTTCTTTTGTTGGATTTATTGTTACTTGTAATCACAAAATATGGTTGACTCCACTGACACGAAGAGTAATGAGTCAAATCTTACCATTGGAAATTCATTGCAACCCACTATCTTTCTTGGACAAACACTTTATCGTTACACATGGTTTGAGGATGGCACAAGGACTAAAACCATCAATAGCATAAAACAACTTGGATGTGAGAGAGAAACTAGTTAAGGATAAGATAAAAATAACAACAAGGACAAGTGACATGCATTTTTGGAGTTTTAATGCAATAATGCTAATTATTTTTAATCATTTTGCTGATGTTTTAGATGGATATTTTTTTGGGATGCATGGAGCTAGGATTTGTCATGGATTTGGTGGGTGATGAGGACACCGAATTAAATTTTTTTGAACTTTTAAATTTGTTTGTATTGCATCAGGTGATAATTTTTATAACATAAAATTTTAATAAAAAAGAAACTTGCAGATATTAATGAATTTTATGTCAAGGATAGTATAGAATTGATTAAAATAAGAGCAACCAACTGAACCTGAGACCAAAGAATCCTCTAAGACGTCGAATTGTTGACTCCTTAAGGCAAGACAACAAAAAAGTCAGAACCCAGGCTGTAGAAAACTTCCATTATCTCAGCAATCTATGATGACTCTAAAAATTCACACGTAAGGTCATAAGGTCCTATTGATAGAAAAATTAAAGGCTTATTAAGTATAAACAAATTTTATCTTTTTTACATATAAACCAATCAAAATAATAATATAAATAAATAAATTCCCCAATAAATAATAAGTGCCAAGAGACGTGTGAAAGCTGGTCTGGTTAAGTTATGTTATTATCTGTTTTGACTTCATGGATCTGGCCTATGAGAAACTTAGCCCTTATTAACCAATTTGCTAAATCTGCTGCATTAGAGGGAGTTAAGGGGAGAAGTTATACTTAAGCTAACACGAGTTCTTATTTGTCATCTTATTTTTCCTATTGGAAATGAATGGCTTGGGATTTGGCTTACCTTTTGAAGAAATCCAGTTAGCGACTCCTTATGGAAGAAGGCATGCCATGCGAATGATATTCATGCGCAAGCATTAGGTGCTTTGAAGTTTAGCAGGAATTATAAGCTTCTAATAAATTGAGTTTCCTTCAACCCTAGAGCTTTGACACTTTTCTTGGTAGTTTTACTTTGAAGTGCATGAGAGGTTTAAGATGACTTTTCCACGATTAACAGTGTATTTAGACAGTCTTGATGGTGTGCTCCATGGATGAATGTGCCAGAAAAAGCTATAGATATAGAATGAGTCTGTTTCAGCACTACTTTTCCTCTGAACTAGTATAACTGAATCGTGTGCAATAGAGGGAGAAGGGGAGAAGCTAATTGGTCATTTAACACAGGCTTTCTTTCTTCATATTTTACATCTTTTTATTTGAGAAAGATACACATATGACATTCCTAATCTGAAGTCAGTAACTCCTGGTGGGATGGCATGTCAAGCAAAAGACAAGTTTTATTGATGCAATTAAATTTTAATTTAAGGCTTCGTTTGGGACGGCTTTCTTCCTATTTTTTAAAGCAATTTTTCAATACAAAAATTAAAATTTTTGTACTAAAAAGATGCTTTAAGAAGCAATAAAAAAGCCATCCCAAACAAAACCTAAATATTGGATTTCATTGTGTTGCTATTATTCTGATTGGTAAGGCATCCATGCCTGAGTTGCTTTTTTACAGCAATTAGTCTAGAACTCTAGATTATATGGAAGGCATCAGTAATTGAAAATTACCTATAAAAGCTGTTGTTTTTCTTGTCCTTTAATGTGTATATCTATCAGTTAATGGACTATATATCTTGGAGTAATCTTTTCCTTTTCTTTATTTCTGTTTCAGTTTTTCCAATTTTAGCATTTGACTAAACTTGTCAGCTCTTTTTATTTTTGTTTTAATCCCAGCTAAGGAAAGCAAAAGAAGAGATTGTCACAGCAAGCAAAGTGGCGTATAGATTCCTTGCAAGCAAAGCATCAATATCTCAAGCATCTCCTGATCCTCCAAGCGACTCAAACAGAGAAGGAACTAATCCTAAACTCCAGGGATCATGGCTCAAGAATCTTGCAATCTTCGGTGCTAAGCCATCAGGTAGCTCATCAGATGTTTCTGAAACTAGCGATGAGACGCATCCATTTGAAAGTCGTTTGTCTTCAGAAAGATTTCAACATTAAGTGTAAAAATTGTTCAACATTAGACGCTGCATTTCATCATTTACTTGCAAGTTATGTTCTTTGCAATTCTTCACAATCTCCCCCACTGGGTTGTGAACGATTGTCTGTGTGCTTTTAGATTGAATGGTGTATTTATTCTCATTTAACAAGTAGGTATCTGTGTGTGCTAATTATGTACATCGTCAGAGTGAATTTCATTAGAATTGCTGTAATCGTACAGTTCTCCAATTGCATCTGTCCAATTCACTTCGGAGGACGGGATTGATTTATACTAATCATGACAGTTTTTGAAAAATTTATTTTTCTTATAATAATTCTACAGCTATTTTCACACACAGTAATCATCCTAAGTGAAGCTAAAGCTAATTTTGCTCGCCCATGGAGTGCTTTTGATTGATATGAGGCATCTTTCACTAGTACTACCACAATTGGGCTCATTGCGATTGCTGCAATTAGGGGTGTTAATATTTGACACTATCCGAAAATCTGACTCGAATCTAATCCGAAATTTTTTTGTTAGGGTCAACTTAGATTTGAAACGGGTCGGGTTTGGGTTCAAAAATTAGACCCGTTTCAAAAATCGGGTTGGGTTGACCCTTTGGCCTAAAAACTTATTTTTGATCCAAAAACCCGTTTTTGATCTATTTTTTTACCCGAAAAGCCTCGGACTTGAAGCAGGTCGGGTTTGGGTCCAAAAAATTGACCCGTTTGTAAAAGTGGATCGTGTTCGGGTTGATTTGAATAGTGCTGGGTCAGTTTTAAATTCGACCCGAATCAGACATGTGACCCAAAATTGCCACCCCTAACAGCAATGTTAATCTGAACCAGGCCCCGCTTTGCTATGTGCCGTCTCATGACCCGCGCTTGTCTTGGTACCCAATTTCTTTCGCTGTACCTTTTCTTAATGATTATGTAGGTAAAAACATTACCAATTTTGTTGGCCTTAGGGCATCTCCAACCGAACGGCAAACACTTGTTTGCCGTTCTCGCTTTGCTCCAACCGATCTCCATTTTTGCGGCCATTTGATCGCGGATGAACAGTGTGACGTCAATATTGGCGTTGCACTGTTCATCTCCGCCATTTTTTTCTCTCTACCGAACCGGAAGAAATGCGCCAAAGCGACGGTTAAGCGGCAAAATGGAGTTCGATTGTAGATGAAACACGGCATTTTTTGGTTTCGCTGTATTTTGGAGTGAAAAATGAGATTTTCGGTTGGAGATGCCCTTAGGCATTAAGTAGCTGAAGGAAGAGAATAAAGGACGCTGTGGATGTTGCAGATATTAGTTTATACCTTTTTATCTGTTGTCGCGCATATACATACAGGCCCTGGCATTTTTGGATAAGCATGAGCTGCGTTGAGAGAAAGGGAGACTTGTCCTAGAAATTGAAATTAAACAAAGCTACCAATCAAAATAGGTCCTTTTGATAAGAAAGTCAAGTTAGGAGATTTCTAATTTTTGACCATCTGGTTGGAGAATTCCATGCTAAGCATTATAAGCACACGGTGGTGGTCTGACGGAATTCTTGGCCTCAAGTGGAGGTCCGATCAAAGTCCGGGCCTCAGGTGGTGGTCTGATAGAAGTCCGGGCCTCAGGTGGTGGTTTGGCAGAACTCCGGGCCTTAGGTGGTGGTCCGACAGAAGTCCGAGCCTCATGTGATGGTTCGATAGAAGTCCAGGCCTCAGGTGGTGGTCTAATAGAAGTCTGAGCCTCAGGTGGTGGCTTGGCAGAGCTTCGGGCCTTAGGCGGTGGTCCAGCGAAACTCCGGACGGTGATCAAGGAGGAGTTAAGTGGCAAGGGCTATCTGAGATCTCTCTCTTTCTCTTACTTAGAGTCCCTCCTTCATGAGAAGTGGGGGTCATATTTATAGATTTTAGAGTTACATGACTTATAAATAGGTGGAAGATCAGTGATATGTTGGGAGTGGTTTGGATGGACGTCCGATATTGAATCACATGATCATAGACCTTTTATTGGGCATTTGAATGTCTTAATGATATTAGAATTTTGCTATATTGGGCTCGTTCGATTCGTCTCGTCGATCCACTCGATTCGACTATAAGTATGTCACGTTTGGAAACTATTTGGTAATCCAAAATTATGGTTTGAACCTTCCAACAACGCTTCGGGTCTTTGATTTGAACCCATTTGGGCTCAGATTGACTTGAATTTGGTGTTGTTGGGTTCGTATTTTTCGAAAAGTTTAGTTGGACCATAAGTTTGCTGAAATTGGAGTTCAGATGGTCCCAATTTTAATTTTAGAAGTTTCCAACTTGATTTTGCCTCGAAATTTGCGCCCGATCAAGATAATTTTTTGATGATTGATAAGTAGTAGAATATTTGAGTGATTAATAAGATAGTTAATAATTAAAATAATTAAAAACTGCTTAAAAATGTATTAAACTATTAGTAGGAGAAATAGTTAAATAATCAGTTATTTATTTAACTCCAATACTTTACTACCACTTTAATTATGAAGTTATTTGAGCTATTTTGCTCTAGCACTTTACAACTTTTTTATCAACTACTTTAAATCTATCAACTGTCTTAAATCCTAAGTCTGTTATCAAACAATTTCTTCGAATTTAAAATGATTTAATATTTATCATATCAAATAATTATCAAAATTTAACATTCTCAAATTTATTAAATTTAAATTTACAGGATTTACTAATAAATAACACTAAAATTAAATCCAATTCACTACCAAATAGCCCTAAAGTGCAGTCCCGTGGATTAGTTGCGCCGATGAACCGATAGCGGCCGTTCGCTCGGGCAAATTATTGGGTCAGGTGACCGGAGCCAAAAGATAAGTTCGGACAACCAATAAAAATTTGCCGCGTCACCTTGCGCTTTAGTTGCGCTTTTTGACTTGCGCTTTTTGACTTGCGCTTTGGTTGCGCTTTAGTTGCGCTTTGGTTGCGCTTTGGTTGCGCTTTAGTTGCGCTTTTTGACTTGCGCTTTAGTTGCGCTTTGGTTGCGCTTTAGTTGCGCTTTGGTTGCGCTTTGGTTGCGCTTTGGTTGCGCTTTAGTTGCGCTTTAGTTGCGCTAATTTTAAATAATATTTTATTATTATCCGAACCTATCTCTGCGTTCGGTCACCTGACCCAATAATTTGCCGTTCGCTCGACCCGCCAAGTGCCCCGAACCATAAAAATAGAAATTTAGAATCGAGCGATCTACCGAGCGCGAGCACTCAGTGAAGCGGCAGTGAAGCCGAGGGAAAAAAATAAAAATTGAGTCCTCTAATCGCCAGCGTGGTGACCGAAAAAGGTAAGAAGAAAAATGTAACATCTCATTCACCGCCTTCTGAATCCTTTCAGTACAACTATCCCCGTGGATGGGCCACTAGATCATTTTGAACGGTCCACTTCATTCATTCTGTTTCTTTTTTTCTTTTATTTTTGCAATTTTGTTATCGCCTTCCGTCTCTTTCCCTCTTGCGAAAGTTTTGATGCCTTATCTCTTAAATAAATTTTTATTTTTTTCTACATCTAGGTTTAGATTTCGGTTCCGAAAAGGAGAGAAAAATTGTGTTTTGGTCAGAGGTTTTCAGATGTTGTGAGTGAGCTTTTGTTAATTTTTACCCGTTGGGTTTGCTTATTAGCTTATATGTTCTCTTAGAACTGTATATTTGAATGATTTTAGCTGTTATGTTACTGGGAACACTGTGCTTGGTGGAGTTATTATCCCCAGCCACTCATACCTTATCATTTTGGCTTAGAAAAATGCCCAACACACCGGACAAGTTAGCACATTTTTCAACACTATCTCTACCCAATATATCATAGAAAATGTGGTGTTGGCCCTTCACATTCTCTTACAACATGCTTTTGTTATATTTGCAACGACACATTGATTTGGGTGTAGTATTGCTCATTTTGCTTATGCGGCACTAAATTGTGCCAGAATGTAAAGCTAGATTCCCTATTGATTGCTGAGAACGCTTGACCTCTACAGACTAATGGTTGGTTGCTATCTTCAGCCGAGCGAGATAGAGTGGCCTTGGTTTTGTTTATCATGTACCTTTACTTTCCATTTGGTGGAGTATTTTGATTCTCCTTTCCATTTTTTGGGTGAAGAACTAGCTCTTATACTTGTATATTTCTTTCTTTAATAAGTTGTGCTATCACCCTTTATTCATGCCAAAAAAAGTGGCTTTTAGTGATCTTAATTTGCATGTTTGTTTCATATATTGATTGGATCACATTTTTTTAATTTTGACTAAAAAAGGAGACAAATCTTCTAATTAATTCACTGTTTTGAGCTAAGGGCTGAACGGTATTTCTTTGAAATTGAGTTTGCAGGAAGTTAGGCTTCATTTGGGATGACTTCCTTATTGCTTTCTAAAACGACTTTCAAGTACAAAAAAATTTTAATTCAAAAATTTTTTGTATTAAAAAGCTATTTTAGAAAGCATCAAAAAAGCTGTCCCAAACGAAGCCTTAGTTCTTGCACAAAACGAACAAATATTATTGAAACATAGTCAATAAAACTCAAAATTTTGAACTCAGCTCTAATCTCTGCCAAAAACTTATGTCAAAATGAACTAGCTCTTATTAAATATAAGATAATGAAAAACATATTTAAATAATTTGAGCCGGTATGATAGGGTGCAAATAATGTATTTTGTAAGGCAGATAGATATATTTGATGTAAAATGAGTAGGTAGAAAAAAGGTGGATTAAAGTTGATATAGTTTGAAATAGGGCAAAAAGACTTTACCTTGTTTAACATCCAGTGTAAATAAATTGAGGAGAACTAATAGAGCCAACCATAAATACTTGGCAAAGGCTAAGGACAATGATGAATGCTTTCAATCTTGACCACCAAAGCTATCCTAAATGCCTACTGATGGTTTAGTCAAGGACCATTTGGAGACGATAGTACAACAACAACAACGACAACATCAAGTCTTTATCCCACTACGTGGGGTCGGCTACATGAATCCTTTTTCTTCATTGTGTCATATTAAAAGTCAAATTCTCATTTAAATCTAATAAAGAAAGGTCATTCCTAATATTTTCTAACCAAGTCTTTTTTGGTCTACCCCTACCTTTCTTAACACAAGTCAAATCTAATACCTCTACTCTCCTAACCGGGTCATCGGAAGGCCGCCTTTTTATGTGACCAAACCATCTAAGGCGACTCTCTCTAATCTTATCTTCTACTGGAGCTACTCCAACCTTTTCACGTATATGCTCATTTCGTATCCTATCTCTAAGGGTAAAGCCACTCATCCACCTAAGCATCCTCATCTCTGCAACACTTAACTTAGTATTATGCTTCTCTTTTAATGGCCAACATTCGGCACCATAAAGCATTGCAGGCCTCACTACCATCTTATAGAATTTTCCCTTAAGTTTGATGGGTACATTTCTGTCACATAACAAGCCCGATGCATTCCGCCACTTCAAGGACCATTTGGAGACGATAGTACCTGAAAGAAAATATTACAATGGAAATCTTATATCATTCTTTTAATTACATGATAGATCTCACCTCAAATTGTTTTTGCAAGTTATGATTATGTCATAATCAGTTTCTTCTCATTTATACTTTCTTATGTACATGGTTTTCTTCTTTCTGATTAATGGCATCTTACCTCTTGTTATGAGGTTCTGCTAGGAATAGAAGGCGCCCTTTTACCAGAAAGGTGCAGAAAAGTTACAGTTCTGTGAAGATAACTTGACGAAAGTTTGGCCATGTCAAGAGCTAGGACAGTTTTCCAAATTTGTTTGCATGCTGTGAATAGGCATGATTCTTGTACTGGATCTTCACAATTACATATGCACAGTATGAATATTTCAAAGTTGAGGTGGAATTGCTTTCAAACAGCATTATTTCTCAATGAAGGCAAGAATCAGAAGGCAAAAACCTTAACCTTACATCATTCAGTGGAGGAAACTGCTGCTTTGTTCCCATTCTCTTTTCATGAGATTAAGCAACGCAGGAATAGCTTTTCTAAAAAAAATTATTCATCCTTGAATTTACAGCATCGCTTTCTCCCTTGTGGTTCACAGTTTTGTTGTCGTTCCTACTCATCAGATGCAAGCAGCAAAGCAAATGGCCTTCAAACTGCCACTCCAAATGATTTTGCAAAAGAAACAGCAGAGAAAATTACTAATTCTGAGTGGAGTGATATTTTGAATGATGCCCATCAGTCTGTGGTGGGTGCTTTTTCTTATGTAGGAAGAAGGGCAAAGGAGGTTTCAGATGAAGTAAGTCCTTACATGCAACAACTGTATTATTCACATCCATTTCTGGAGAAAGTGATAGTACCCGTTGGTGGCACCATGGCAGCAACCTTGCTAGCTTGGTTTATCATGCCTAGGATTTTTAGGAAATTTAACAAGTATGCGAGTAGGAATCCTCTTGCATTATTATCGGGAGGATCAACTGTGGAAGAAATTCCTTATGAGAAAAGTGTATGGAGTGCTTTGGAAGACCCTGCTAGATATCTTATTACTTTCCTGGCATTTTACGAGTTGTGAGTTTCATTCCATTTAATCTCCATTGTATTTTCTATTTATCTCTTGATGAACATTTTATTTCTTTTATATTTATTTTTTCTGAAGTTGTTGTTCATGATGTAATCCATATTTCAATAACCATTTTCTCTTTTTATGTTAGTTTAATTTATCTGAGTAAATGCTTTCACTTCATATTCAAGACATTCCTGTATATCAGATTGTTGAAAGCATGAATTTTGCATTGTTGGTTTAGCCGATGAAACAAAATGAATTGATCAGTATTAAAGCTATTTTGTCTGGTGATATTATATTACTGACTATAAATTGATATTCTTCTATGTTCAAACATAAATTGATATTCTTCTTTACTCTATGTTCAAACATAAATTGATACCTATGCTCATATCAACTGCATGTGGCTTATGCCGATGTGGGTTCTAGGTGGGGTTGACATTTTAAGCTTTACTTTACATTACAGAGAGGCTATTTTCTTCAATTAAATCGATAGCTTCCCTGTCAATCAACAATCCATTGGTCTAGGGCTGCATTCATCAGAATTGATATCCTTAAAGTCCACAAATGTCTAGCACATCTTATGCTGAATTATGCATGATTTATACGAGAGAGTCTCTGGATTAAGTAGAAATCTAAATAAACATGGTTTTATGTTGTTCTGTTTGTCCTTGTCACTGTTTCTCCTCTTCTGATTTAAAAGATCATTAATGTCTCTAGTGGTAATATATTTTTGAAACTGTAATCTTTAGTCAAATGTTAATTTTTATCCTTTCTACCTTTGCTTCCCATTTTCATTGAGTTTTAGCTTGCCTGTAACTTCTTGATGATTATAGTTTTTCTCATGCTCTTTATGAAATGATACACTCTTGCCCGAGGGATAGAAATGTTCTTTTCTTTGGTCAGTTCAGGTACCCTAAAATCAGTCACGGTCATAAAAAACAATTATGATTGGCAAATGATTGCACGAACAAGCCAATCATCATAGCTGTTGTTAGCACTGCTGGTAAAATGCTCCCCCCACACATTTTGGTCTCTTTGTAAGGAGTCTTGAGGACAAGTTTGGCCTTTTTGCATAGCCTGAGACTAAAATGCCCCCCCACACACAAATTGTCAAGAGATCATTTTAATTCTTTTCTCTATATCTAGGATTTTTTAATTTGAGTAAATAAAAGTCTAGGTTAAGTTTACTTTATCTTAAGTTAAGAGAATTGAAAATTGAACTTCCAACTTTCGAATCAAACTCATGCTCATAGTTGGCTTCCAAAAGCAAGCCTCCTGTGTGACACCATTCATATTGTTGCGACACCATTCTTGTTGTCGCTACCTTACTCGCTCGCCTTTATGTCGGTTTCGTAGTCATGTTATCATTCTATCTCGGTCTCCCTCAATTTTCTCTTCTTATTGCTTTATCTGCTTTCCCTCTTGAAGTCTACCTCTCGCTTGTTGCTCCCTCTCATCTCACTCACACTTACTTTATTCTCTCGTTGCTCTCCTCTATTCAGTCGCTTGCTTCATCTCTCTCTCTCTCTCTCTCTCTCTCTCCCCCCTACCTCTGTCTCCTCTTCTCTCTTGATTAATAAACAGAGCTGACTGACGTCAGTTCAGTTGAAAACTTCAGAACTAACTAATGTCGGTTCATATCATGATGTTTATGATGTTTAGGTTTAGGCCATAATTTGTAATTATAGATAGCATGATATAAATCTAAACATTTGGCCCTTAACAGTTACTATAGTGGAATAATTTTAACTTTTCTCTATTAAGCATAGATGACTGACCATGTAGAACGCATATCTAATGAACTTAAGCAAAAACAATTATTGACAATAAGCTAATATATTGTTGTAATATCAGCGCTCTAGTAAGTTTAATCTTAAATAGAAGTTATACCTTTATCAACATCAGTAGTTTCCTTAGGCTCTTGTTGAGTCAGAGCATAGATTGGTGTTTGCATATTCTGTTGACATTGATTTTGCGTTTGATCTAAAGCAGTCAATTCTATCATCAATTTTTTTTTTTTATCAAAATTTATCTATGAAGATGCTTCACTTGATTTCAGTTTTTCGGGAAACCTTCTGACCAAGTGTAAGACAGTACCTTGTTGTGTCTCGGTATATAACAACAATAACAAGCGGTAGAATCTGACAAATATTCACCTTTTGAAATCTTCTATACTTAACATAAGTTTTTATTACACTATAGGCCATACCACCACGTCTAACTTCACTTGTATTGGCCTCAGGTTTTTTCCAATAAGAGTCTCCCAACTACATATCATGTTTCAGAGTGATATTTTTTTATACATATCTCTACACTTCAGAGTGATTTGAAAGTCAATTTTTATCAATATGGGCATCTCCACCAATAAAGAATAATCATTAATCCATAAAGGTACTAAAGGTTATCAGATCACATACTTTAAATTAGATATGATATGAATCAATGACATTTTTCTTTTGAAGTTGGCTTCAGTTGTGCTGCATACCATGATCATGTCGTAAATTCTGCTTCCTATTCTATAATCGATTTATCTCCATGTAATTGTCTTATAAACTTAATATGCATCTGCCTCTATGTAGAAAGAGATGCAAACTATATCTGAAAGTCTCTATAAAATCATCCTAATTAATCAACAGATTGGGTAGTTCTCCAAGGTTGTCCTGACATTGCCGTCTCCACCATCGTCCCACTTCTTTATTTTATGTGAATGTAGCAAGTGACGCCTTCATTTCATTGGGACATGACATATTATCCAGTATCTTCATAATTAATTAACATATTGGGTAGTTCTCCAAGGTTGTCTTGACCTTGCTATCTCCACCATCATTTTGCTTCTTTATTGTCTGACTGTAGCAATTGACACCTTCATTTCATTGGGACATTATCCAGTATCTTCATAATATGTAGTAACCAATTTTTTTTTTTTTTTTGCAATTGGTCCTTAGCTCCTATAAATTGCGGTCATATATCCTGTAACAATTTCAAATATTTAGCCATTATGGTGATATTGTTACTTCCATTAGGTTGGGATGTGGAGCCTTGGATTATTTGTGTCATTTCTATCATCATTTGGGGAAGAGCATTAATATTCATAATAATATTTTTTTGTCCTTCATCTTCCCTCATATTTTTGTCTTGTTCATCCTTTTGATTATTCATACGCTTGAAATATAATGACTAAAAAAATCTCCTAAATATCTTTAAGAAATTTTCAATGATCATCCTAATGGCTCTTAGGTTATGATCAATACTAAATCCTCGAAACTTACATATTGCATTACTAAATTAAAAGGGGAAAAAGTTTACAAACAAGTAGAAACATATATGGAGTATCAACATTGGCTTTGATTTCACTTTTATCGTGGCCCGATCTGAGAGATTCAAATACTAAAGCGGGAATAGATGGTCAGACTGGGCCGGTTGGACCGGTCCAACAGAGATCGGTCCACTGCTACGCGAGACGGGCTGGGCGGAAACGACAGCAAGAGGCGGAGCTTCCTGTGGACCCCACGTGGGATTAATTTTGATTTGGGAGGGAGAAATTTGAATGAGGGGGCTGTTTTAGGAAATCCATTATTGTCCTTTATGATTATTATTGTTTAATTAGGAGATTGGGGGGAAGTAGCTCCTCATCTTGAATTTGAATTATTTTGAGATCTAGGGTTTGGTGTTTTGGGCTCTTGGCGTTGCCAGAGATCTTGGAGAGTTTTTCCTTCCTCTCGAATTGAAGGAAAGTTGTATCTTGCAAGTGCTTTTCATATTCCATTGAAATAAAAAGCGTTTGCTC